ATAAAGCCTAGAAGTAATTTTCACAGAGGAGAAAGAATGAGCAAACAGAGAGGGGATAGGGAAGCTTTTTAAGCTAGTATTGCAATGAAAGTTTGCCTGGCTTTGGAAGTGTGACCTCATGTACAGTATGATTGGTGAAACTAGTTTGCTGTTGTGCAGGTTGCATCGTGTGCTTGTTACATGCTGTCTTGAGGCAGAGGTATATAGTGGTGTGCTTGGCTTGGAAGTAGTCAACTCCTTTGGAGCCCCTTGAAGCATGGCGTGTAGTGTAGTCTTGGCTACTAGAAAATGGAGCAGACCTGTATTAAATGCAAGTGGCAAGTTTTTGGTGATGGGAGGCTGCAGGGGCAGCTTCTGTAGGAAGAGGCTGGGGGCTGTCCTGTGCTGTACACTGCTGGTTCCAGATGGCTCCAATAGACCAAAGCTGAACCCATCAGCCATGTGTGTGGTGCGTCTGTGAAAATATTTAAGGAAGGGTAGGAAATGCTAGAGTGTGGCATAGGGAATGTGGAACAAAAAGAGGGAGTACCAAGATCAGGGAAGGAGAAGGTTCACCATGGCATAGCAGATATCCCCTGCAGCCTGTTGAGGACCCATGCTGGAGCAGCAGAAAGGTGTGATAAGGAAGGAACAGCAGAGAGGAACCACTGTGTACTGAGCATGACTCCCTCCCCCTGCACCACTCAGAGTTGGTGGGTAGAGGAGCCTGGAGTGAAGGAGTGAAGCTGAGCCTGGGAAAGGGGGGAAGAAATTTGTTGGTTTAATGTTGTATTGGTTTTGGCTGCGACAGTTAATTTTCTTCATAGTAGCTAGTATGGGGCTATAATCCAGGCTGCTAGAGAGCATCTAATTCTTCTATGCTGTAGGATACCATGAGCATACTTTCAAAATGTGTTCAGTATGTTTGAGATGTTTTAAAACCTTGGGTATCAGACTTTGAAAGGAAATTCAGTATTTGCCAGAATTGTCAGAGATGCGTAGGATATTAGGTAGTTAAGTCCCATAGAAATGTTAAGTGATGCTCATGTTTTATATTTTCTATCAAAGATTGACATATCTTTCTTTGCAATTATTTAGAGCAGTTATCTTTTTAGGGCTTCCAGCAATTCATTTGCAGTGTCTCTATCCAAACACAAGGCTACGTTTTCTCTGTATGGTGATTATCGCTGGGAGTTCCCTTTTCCATCTTGGAACTTTTCTATTTGTTACAGAAGTCTGAACTTGCATGCCATTTTAACAACTTCAGTGACTCTCCCTAAATAATTAGTCACGTATAAAATGGAAACCTGAACATGTCTCCAGTTGATAAAAAAACCCTTACAGTTTTGTAAACAGAATGAAATTCTGGACCGCTTATTGGTAAAGGTAGTGTAAAATGACAGCTTTTAAATGCTTTTCAAATTATGATGTAAAGTATCAGACTGCTTGCTAAGCAAGTTAAGTGAAACACCACATCTTTCTCCCTATTTCTGGTTGTGTAACAATACCTTTCATGCCATTGGCAGAGGAACTTTTAAAGCTTGTGCTTTTAAACCTTGCTGTTCTCTTTATTATCGCTGTTGGCATTAATGTTTAATTTTGAAAGAGTGCTGACAGAGAAAGCTTAAAGAATGGACTGGAAAGTAATTTCTTCAGCCATACCAAGAAGACAAAAATGAATAGAAGACATGTTCAAAAAGGATTCAAATATAAAGTACAATAGTCCAGCAATTAAAAATTATGGTTTGGTTTAGATTCTAAGACTTTGTCTTACCTTAGCATATGTTCTTTTACCTAAATTTTATTTACTAGTGAAGGAAACTGTTTTAAATATTAGATACATAACCATTAGTAAATGGTACATGTCACCTCTTGCTGCTTAAAGCTGACTTACTCCATCGGCAGATTCTAGAGTTGTCCTGAGCTCTTTTAGGTGTTTGGAATATGAAAGGCTTATTTTGCTATGGGATGTGTTGGACCTTTATTACTACACAGCATGGCTAAAATACTCAGCAGATGTTTAGAAAACTTAGAGGAGGTAGCAAATATTTCATACAATGTTATATTCAGAATGATAAATTACAGACAATATGGTGGCTCACAAGATAATACTGGGATTTTTCTTAGGATAACTTCAGTCACCTGCTTGCAGCCAAACATCTGCTTGGTTTTATGTTGTATTCAGAACTGGAACAGTATCTATAGGCACTTGGGATTTTAATTACCATTTGAGGAATATGTGGAGATGAAATTTAATTCAGTCCAGTAAAAGCATTTGATAAAGGTTTGAGTAGATGATGATGTCATTTTTTAAGTGAAAACAGTGACATATATGTGCCATCTCTGCCTTTTCTCCTCCTTCCCCTTTCCTTTTTACTGGTCTTAAACATGACATATTTTGACATTTGGGTCACAGTCCAAATGGACTTCAGAATCCGTCATCTCTTTTCTGCCCTTTGCCTTTGTTGAATCAATGTGGTATGTACTCGTCTGTCTCTTTATACCTAGTTTTCTTCTTCCACAATAGGTCTACTGTTAAACAAGTTCCTGCTGTTTTTAAAATAGGACTTTGTTCTGCTTTTAGCCCCGAGACCCCTTAGTCATACAAAACCTTGTTCTTTGACTTCTGTTCATTTGTTTTCCTGTTTCGAGATTTTATTTTCCACTTCTGTTTCTCCTTCCTCTGGTATGATGCTCAGTCTGTGAGCAATTGTTTCATCCATGCAATATTACACAAAGGAATGAGGTAAATGGCAGCATATATTTTCTTCCTCACAGTTCTACTTTCCTTCAAAATATAAATAAAGCCCACAAGAAATTAAGAGAGTAAGCAGCCAAAATAAACTATTTTGAACACAATTTCTATGTGTAAATAAAGCAGAACTTTTTTGTAGTTGCCTATTGGATTTTCACTTTGCTTTCCATCTAAAATAGGTATCAGATACTATGGTGAAGTGTGGTAGCATTAAAGTCATTATACAGTAAGAGACAAAATAAAAGCACCATATTTTCTGGAGATCATAGTCATTCACAGAATCACATAGTTTTCTATTCTCTTATGCTATCCATCAGTATGCTTACCTGTGATGCTATTTAGGAAAGACTGGATGTGTACTTCAGTGAAAGACAAGGAGAGCCTCACTGCCTAGAAAAGAGGTGTTAATCATCTAGTGTGAAATCAATGCCTAAACATGATGGAAGGGAAAGTTACAATATGGTTTTAGTAGTTACTTTGCATGAAGGTGATGTAAAAACTGATATGCGAGTATTTTCAATAGTGAAAAACATACTGGTGTTTTCTTACTTGATAGAATTTCATCTCTGTATAAAGGAAAAATTTTACATGAATTTCTTTATCTAAATTTCTTCTGCATCAGTGAAAGACAGTTATTTGCTTCTTTTTGCTGCTCTGTTTGCACTTCCTAAGATGACATTACATAATGGTTTCTAAGGGGTTGCTCTACTCATTTTGCTTTTAGATTATATTTGCAAGGATGTGAGGGAGGAAGCGCATAATGCAAGTGTAATATGACAGTTCTATTAAGAAAATTTCCACTTTGTGAATCTGAAAATTTTTCTTGGATTAAAATTTAATCATTTCCAAATTCTGAGCATTTCTTCCAAATTTATAGATGACTAAAAGATCACAAGTCTAACATATATCTGAGTAACCTGTTAAATGCTTCACGTGAAAGAATGTTCATCTCGCTGCTTGTACTTTTGAATGTTGTTGATTCATGTTAGAAATGTAATAGGACACATATGAAGATAGTGCATTTTAAATTTCTTTCTAGTGTAGCACAACAATATGGTAAGCATTCTCAAATCGAGAAAGTATTTGTATTTTCCCATAAATACATATATAGGTCATTCTTGAACAATGAACAATTGTATGGAAAGAGAATAGAAAAGTAAAATGTCTACTTCAGAATACAGACTGGCATTTTCCTCTCTTCTCAAATTATCATCAAGGCTATTCATTCAGGACTTTGGTATTTTTCTAGAATACTAGTGGTAAGTTTTAAAAAAAAAAAACAACACCCACATTTAAAGATGATTAATGAACAAAAATACCAAATATTTTCAACAAAGAAGAAAGAATATTAATTCAGTGTGGTTTCCTTTTTTGCATTTCTGTACTAGCAGAAGGATTGATTTGTGATCAGAAAAAGTAAGTGTGTTGTTTGGTAAAAACAAAACCTCTCAAGCTTTGAGAGATGTCACAGTGGTTTCTGCTCTTTCTTTATTCACAACTCTTTCTGCTTTTCTCCCTCTTCTCTAGAACAGAGGTGCAAGCTAATACAGGCTGGTAAAAATTTATGCCAGTGTTATTTCATATACTGTGATTTATTTATTTCTTTTTAAAAAAATCACTATTAAAGAACTGCAAGAAAATTAAACATACGAAAAAAACTTATTTGCTTATGAGTGTGATCAGATACCAGTATAGATTTCCTACACAGGTTGTAGAGTCTCCATTCTTGGACATGTTCAAAATCCAACTGGATGTGGTCTTGAGCAACCTGCTGTAGTTGACCTTGCTTTGAGCAGAGGGATCGGACTAGAGACCTCCAGGTTTTAATAGTTCTGTAGTGTGGTGAAAGAGCCTGTCTTCTGTATTTGGAGATAATTTTGCAGTGATGTTGGATATTTATGATGAAAATCTTGGTGTAGTCTGCATATGTGCATTAAAGGAATGTATGACTCTACAGTCCTTCAGATTATGACCAAAGAGATCTTTTATTAATAGGTCAAATCAAGAAAGCCTGTTAAGTTTTGTGTGTTTATATTTTGAGATCTGTGTGAGTTTAAGTTAATTTCACACAAGTTCTGAAAGAGAGTAATTAAATATCATCTCGTCAGTGTTCTTTATAAAGATTAAAGAATTTATTAGAAATTTCAGATGTGTATGTCTTTCCAAACAGTGTGTTCTAATTGTTTTCAAATTTTTTTTTTATTCAGCAGCTTGAATATATAGCTAATATACTACTTCATTATCTTTCACAGATCTGAAGAGAGAAGCCAGTATTTGTCACATGCTGAAGCATCCTCATATTGTTGAACTATTGGAGACATACAGCTCAGATGGAATGCTTTATATGGTCTTTGAGTTGTAAGTTTCTCTCTTTGATTTTACCTTTCTTTGTTGTCATTTGCTAAATAAAATCCTAAAACTATGTCTGCTTTCACCTGCTTGTTTTGTAGCTCAGAAGTCTTGAGCGCCATGAAAATATTTATTTCTGGCCAGTACAGGTTGTCCCATATAAAAAAAGCTGTCACACTGCTAAGTGGCTGACATCAGGCTGATTCTTTATAGCATGCTTTTTAAGTGCAGACATGCAGTTTATTGATGGCTGCTGTGTCCCTAATAGGGTACATGAGAACGAGTTAAAAATCTGCTGATGGTCATCATCTTTGGGTAACTGATGGTATTCTATTCCAGTTGTGAAGTTTTGTTTGTTTTTTTTCCCAGACTATTGTTTCTTTTGCACTGCTTTTTCCTTTTTTTTAAGTATTTGAGTATTCTTGTAAATCAATATACCTGTTCACATCATATGAAGAGAGGCATTTGTCTAAAAGATATGTTTTGGAAGTTTGAATGTAAGAGTTTAGTTACTGTTGGCATATGGAAGGGTGAACAAAACATGGCTTTTCAGCAGTGTACAGGTATTTTTAGTCGACAATAAGAAACAAAAGGGGGGCAGCCCCTAAATCGCCACATTCCTTCTTTGAGGGAAAATTTTTAGTCCTTCTTGAGTTAGGTTTTAGCTAACTGGGAAGGACAAATATAGACATGCAGAATGCTGATTTGTGCACTTCTGTATTCAGTCTTCCTTCTCTTCTCTGCACCTACCAGCTCTTCTTTTTATATCCCTCATATATGGATTCCTAGTGTGTCTGGGCATATGTGTTTTTACCTCTTTAATTTCTCTGATCTTCCAGCATTATGTTTTCTGATGCATTTGGCCTGCTTATGTTGGAGCAAGCCACATCATACCAGTGTGTTAGGTTGAACTGGCATGTCCACTAGAGCCAAGAATTTGACATGAGATATGCACTTAAAAAATAATTCTCACATGTTAGTTTTACCATTGAGGTAGAGAAGGCGGCAGGAGGTAACAGCAAAAAATTAAAAAAAAAAGAGATGTAAAGCTGAAAGTTGTTGCTTTTAAGTCTTATGCTTTTGGGTTTGTTTTTTGGGGGTTTCTTTTTTAGGTGAGTTTATAAACTTATGATTGTGTGAAATACTTGTTTCATGCTTTCCTTTTTGTAAGTTTTGATTCAATACTGACTTTGGTTTTTATTTTGTAAATCCCAAAGCATGGACCAAGGGACTTTAATTATCCTATTATGAAATAATTATGTACACCTTAGGGAGACATACTGTGATAATTAACAAGATTTTGAAATGGAAAAAAGGTTTTGCTTCTATTTTTACAATGCTGGTAGCTCAGAAATATGAGACAAAAGCAGTAATTATTTTTTAATGACAAGCCTATTATCATTTATGTTTGTACACATAAAAAGTAAGTCTGAACAATTAGAATTACTACACGAATACTGTACCTGACTTCAGGCCACATGAAAGAAGGAAATACAAGGCTAAATTATTTGAAGGATAATAAATCTTTACCATCTTGTATGTCCTTGTCTCCCTTGTACACTGCAAGACATCACTTTTTTGTAACAAACAGTGATTAGAAAATGAGACAGTAGGAACACCTGTGCTCAAAATGTAGCAGGGAATGGAAGAGTTGTGGGTGCAGTGTATTATGCTGAAGGGGACGCTTTGGTAAAGCGATTCAACAGAAGACTGATGTTTGCTGTGGAGTAAGACTGCATTGTGTGAGTTTTATTGAGTTAGTGGCATACTATATAATTGTGACCATAATAAGAAACTTGTAGTTAGTAGAAAAGCATCTATGTATTTGTAGGTAACTTATTTTTCCTCGTACTGCTTTCTGTTCATTATGCTATTATTATAACAAATTTAACTGCTTTGCAACAAAGTTCTGTCCACAGTAATAAAATATATTTTATTAGGGTCTAGTTATTCTGAAATGACAGAAAAGGGGAAGACAACACAGATTTGCAGAGGAGATATAAGCCCAGCTGGTGATGGGCTATTTGTGGACTGGCAGATGCTTTGCGTGAAAATTAATTCAGGTCCAGCTCATGAAACGCACAGAATAACCAAACCTAAAACTTTGTGCCATCAGTTGCACGTAAATGATACATAGGTGCACTACTGTTTCTCTTTCATAAGCTGTGAGCTACATGGAGCAGCTGCTAAAATGGCCCTGAATATCTTGCCAAATCTATCATATTTGAAAAATTACACGTTAAATAAGCAAATGCAGCATATATCTGATAACAAGAGATTGTACAACTCAGGAAAAAAATACAATCTGTGCCCAATTTTGAAAATTTTGTAAAAATAAATGTTTAAAAAATCAAGTCATAATTCATAGAAGTACTGATGAACATGAACAGTAGCAATGAAGTTTAACACAAAAAATTTAGCTATGTTTTTAACCACTTTATACAGAAATTCAAGCACTCTTTAGAATGGAGCCATCATGTCATGTTACCAGTAGGTTGCCATTAGCCATATGGTACTGCTGTAATAAACTCCATAGAAGCAGTTGGTCGTAATAGATGAAGTGCCTGTGTAGAGTAAGAAGCAGACCCTGTCCCAGAAAGTCTAATTCTTAAAGTAAAATTATTATTTTAAAAGTATTTAGATGTTATTATATCATAAATGAGAAAGTATGTGCCTGTGCCAAGTTATTTGCTCCCACACACACCCCAGCTGCTCCTCAGAAGGGTAATGGACTCTTTCCACTGATGGAAGAGATCCCTTGGAGGCTCTGGAGAGACCTTGCATCTGAGATAGGCCAGCTTTAGTCTTCATCATACAGTCACAGTTTTCTTTCCCATTCTGTGGTGTTATTTGCTGACAGCTGTATATAGAATCATAGAATCATTTAGTTTGCAAAAGACCTTTAAGATCGTAAAGTCCAACCGTTAACCTAGCACT